CAGGAAGTCAGCTGTAAACCTCCATCATCAAATCACCTTCCAAAACTCCCACATTTGATTACATATGGGTTTAAGGGAACATCTAGATATAAACCATAACAGCCTCCCAGCCTGCTTTCCGTGAACATTTTGTTTCCTCCAAAGGGTGGCTAGGTCTTTGGACAGGCTGGAATCCACACTGGTTATTTGTGGGTCTGTTTGCTATTACTGTCACAGAATCGGAGCCATGTCTTAGTGGAGAAGCCATGTGGCTCTTCTGTATAGTGAATGGCAGTATCTCCAGATATATGAAGGGTGAACGCATGATTCCATACACCTTCACTTTTTGTTCTGAGTTTTCTGTCTTCTGTATTTTGCTTGCTACCATATGGTGGGTATATTCCTGTGGTTGGGAATTCTATCATCTCTTGTCGACATGCTCTGACGGACCTTGCTGCATACCGTGTAGCTCTCTGTGAACACTACTTCCTCTACAGTGCCAAGATGGGAATCTCTCTGAGTCTTAGTTTTTTCAATCCAATATGTCAGTCTGTGTGTTTTAATTGAATAATTAAGACCATTTGTATTCAGAGTTATTACAGGAAAATATATATTAATTCCTGTCATTTTGTTGTTCTCTAATATTTTATTCAATAGTTTTTATTTTTCTTCCTTTCTTTGGGTAAGATTGAAGTATCTTCTGCAACTCTGATTTTGCATTCATGAGGTTCTTTAGTTCATATTTATATTTGAAGGATAGCTTTTTTTTTTTTTTTTTTTGGGTTTTCTCCGGTACCGGGAACCGAACTCACAACCTTGCGCTTGCCAGGCAGGCGCTTTTGCCACTGAGCTAAATCCCCAGCCCCCTTGAAGGATAGCTTTGATGGTTACAGTAATCTAGATTGGCAGTTATTTGCTTTCAAGGCTTGAAGCATGGTGTTCCATGCCCTTCTAGACATTAAGGTTTCTATAGAGAAGTCTGAAGTTATTCTGATGGGTTTGCCTCTGTTAATGAGTTGTTTCTTCCTTCTTGCAGCTTTCAGTTATCTTTTTTTCTCATTCTGTACACTTGCCCTTTAACTATAACATGATGTGAAGTGATTCTTTCCTGAGTATGCCTATTTGGCATTCTAAATGCCTCCTCTACCTGAAGGTTTATATCTTTCCCAAGATGTGGGAAATTTTCTGTTCTTATTTCACTAAATAGATATTCTATGCATTAGCTATTACTTCAATATCCTCTTCTACACCAAAAATTCTTAAATTTGGTCTTTTAATCATGTTCCAGAATTCTTAGGTGTTTTGCTCATAATTTTCTGTCTTTATTTCTTTCTTAGTGTCTATACCCACTAATTCTTCAACCTTTTCTTCAAACCCTGGATTTCTGTTTTCTTCATGGTTCTCTGTACTGGTGAGGATTTCCACTGAGTTGTTTTTTTTTTTATTTGACTTATTGCCCTTTTCCTTTCCAAAGTTTATGTTTGGTTATTCTTCAGAATATATTTTGTTGAATTGCTACCTCATATCTTTCATTGTTTGCTTTACTTCATCAACATTGTATTCATATCCTCTTTGAAGTCATCATTTTATAAATCAGCCTTTTGAATTCTTTACTATTTCATCCACTTCAATATCTTTGCATTCACTTACTGAGGAATTATGGAAATTTGGAGGAGTCACGTTGCCTTCCTTTTTTATACGTCTTGTTTAAATATTGTGATTTGTGCATTTGTTGGAATGGATATCTCTTCTACTTTTACTTGAAGGTCTTTTTAGTATCCAGCCTTCTTTTGAAGACTTGATCCCCAGCACCACTCAGACAAAACATGTTGACATGCGGTAAAAAACAATCAAAAGCAACTAGCCCACCATTAACAATAGAAAAGAAAGGAACAATAGTCTCCTTAGAGAAAATATGCAATAGGGAAAAAGACAAATGAGATATTGACACACACAAAGCAACAACTACACTGCCATTAATAATAGAAAAGGATTTAGCAATAATAACATAGAGTAAAATCAAAAGCAAAAAATTAGTAAAGGTTAAGAGTAATAATAAAAATAGATGGGAGAAGGAATGGGAAAATGAGAGAAGTAGAATTCAAAAAAGGCAAAGATGAGAAGGAGGAATGAAAAGTGAGATGAAAATCTAGTTGAAGGACAAACAAAGTAAATTAATCTAGGTAATACTAATAAAAAAGCAACAAAGAGAAAGAAAAGAAACAAGGCGAGAAAAGAAGATAGAAAAGAAAAAGAAAAAGAAAAGAAAGAAAAGAAAAGAAAAGAAAAGAGAAGATCTGGGAGCAAAACAAACTAAAAGCAAAAAATGAAAAACAGAATGAAAACCAGAAATATGTCAAAAAATATTCCCCCACACTGATGTATTTGGGTGAGGAGTTCCTTTCCAGGACCTGTGGTTTTGGGACATGAGGAAGGGAAAGTGAGGCACAAATGGCATCTATTGTATTTCCACACCCACTGAACAGTTTTTTCTGAGTGAAAGCCAAGTCCTGGCCTGCCTTTCCTCTTGTTTGAGGTCAATCAGTGGTATTTTTTTCTGAATCAGAGTTGTATTCATTCCAGAAAATTTTAGTGTTTGTACTCTTCTGTGTGCCCCTGCAATTGCTGTCCCTGACTAACTCATGGCCTGTAGGCTTGTGAGGTGCCCCACTTGCTCCAGAGGCCTCTCTGTTCATCCACCCAGCGAAGTAGCAGACATGCAGGCAGTGGCATATCACTGATTGTGTTCGCTGCTGGGGAAGGCAAATGGACCACCGAGTTCTGTGCTGGAAGTAAGCTGTAGCAGGGGCCAATTGGCTCCCTGGGGTAAATCTTAGCATTTTCAAACCTAATCAGCTCAGAAAACCACATGCATCTAGCTAGGCTTCTCACCGTTAAAGACAAGACCACTCTTGCCCCTGCAGCAAGAGTTTACTGCTGCTTAAATTTCTCAAGAGTGTGTGGTGACTAGCTCTCCCTCTTTCCGTTACTCTTTCTTGTGCATCTCCCACACATTCACTGCCATAGGGTGACCCCAGAGACCTTGAAGTTTGGCTGTCCTGAAACTTCTGAGTCCTGGAGTAACTCAGTGTTAGTAAAAACCTTCTCAAAATAACTCTTGGTTAACAATCATAAATATGATTGGTGCCGCAGTGAATCTTTTCTGCAAGCTAAGCTGCCAAGTAGGAGTCACTTTCAGAGTAAAATCTTACACTGCATTTGCAGCTTACAGTAAGTGTGAGTTTGCCCCGGGGCTAGTGTTATCTATCAGTCTGTTTGTCAGTGGGGTTCTGGCCCTTAGAGTCAGTGTCACTCCCCATAAGAGCTTGGCTTAGCACTTCAGAACGCCTGGCCTTTTTCTCTGGATTGTCTTGTTTGTGAGTTTTAGTTTTTCATTCTGCCCCTTCTTGATTCCTGGAGCTTTTCTTCTTCTTCTCCCGGCTAATAAGTTGTTTCCTTGGTGTCTCAATTCTAAGTCCCAGAAGTTGTGATTAGCTGTTGACTTTTACTCCTCCTCGCGAAGCTAGAATATATGCAACACCTTGAAGGAACAGAATAATGTCTTGGATACACATATTAGAATTTAAGGGATGAAATACATATAAAAATAACCAAAATAAAAATTTTACTACTGGGGCTGGGGATTTAGCTCAGCGGCAAAAGCGCCTGCCTGGCAAGCGCAAGGTCGTGAGTTCGGTTCCTGGTACCAGAGAAAAACCAAAAAAAAAAAAAATTTTACTACTGAAAAAGTATGCAAAATGAAAAACCACTGGATGAATTGGTGACAGGTACTGCAAAAGACTGGGGAACTTGAGGTGTGGGTATATAAAAAATGTAATTGAAATACAGAGGGACAAAAGGTTTAAGAAAAAGCTCTTGGTGACCTACGTCAATTTGTGTATTATGTATAAGTGTAATCATGATTCCAGAGGAGGTAAGAAGAAAGCTTTGCAGAATAATGGTGCAACATTTTCCAAAGTTGATGGAAAATAGTATCTCACAGATCAATAAGCTCTATAAATCTCAGTCAGGAAACAGCATAATCTAATTGCCAAATCTTAAAAATCATGGACAGAAATATAAATTAGATATGACAGAAAAACAGATAAAAAACATTTACTATCATTTCTTTAAAAATATAGCTTTTTTTTTTTTTTTTTTTTTTTTTTTTTTTTTTTTTCCCTGGTACTGGGAATCAAACTCAGGACCTTGTACTTGCCAGGCAGGTGCTTGTGCCGCTGAGCTATATCTCCAGCCCCTTTAAAAAATATAAAAGGAATAAAATTAAAATTTCTTTAATGTGTAGAAAAGAATGCTTCCCCCAATGCAAACCAAATCATAACAAAATAAACACAATATTCAGTAAACAAAATGCTACTTTTAACCTTCAACTTTCTGAAGCATTAACTAAAATAGGAACATAAGTCAACAAATATGCTTGTAGAAGAATATTCATGGTTACTTTCTTCATACTAGCAAAAATGGAACAAGTATCCATCAATGTTAAAAAATAAATTCTAACATAATTGCTGTGGTTTGGAAATGTTTTCATAGTTCAGTGTCTCCAGCCTATGACACTATTTGCAGATGGTAGAATTGCTATTTCCCTAGACTTTTACCTATTATAGGAGTAGGGGATCAGAGGAAGGAGGTGATGTCACTGAGGACATATCTCTGAAGGTTATATGGGACCCTGGGCCTTCTCTCTCTTTGCTTCCTTGGCACCATGAGCTGAGCACTTTCCTTGGCCATACACATCTGAATGATGTAGTTTCAACACAAGACCCCTAAACAACTTCTAATGTCATGAGCCGAAATAAATCTCTCTGCTACATCAGTTTATTTTTTCATGTATGCTTTTCACAGCAAAGGAAAGCTGACTAGCATGAAGACCCTATATTGGAATACTATACGGCAATAACAATGAAAGAACTATTGAAATATGCAATACAGATATATCTAGTAGTAAACGTTTAAAAACTGGCTCTCTAACCACAAATACAAAATGTTTGGATTTACAGTGTTTGCTGATTTCCATGGTATAATTACTCCTACCATGGCCAATTTTAAGCCACTGATGAACATAGAGTTAAGAAGACATACACAGGAGCACATGGATTATAAAGGTAAAATGGTTATAAGCAGCTTTGAGAAAACAGGAATGAAACATGAACAAAAAATGAGGAAATAATGTATTCTTAGTATTGTTTTTGTTTTTGACATAATTTATTTAATTTTAAATTTATATAATTTAATTTTTAATAGTAACTGTTTTTAGCAACCAGCTTTCGAAATTTTTGGAAATTTAGCACTTAGTTCTTGTGAATTGGTATGGTAAGGTTATAGTAATTCAAAAAAAATTGGATGATCCTAAAAGCAGTGTGCTGAGTGAAAAAATGCAATTAGTAAATAGTGAATAATAGGTAATTCAATGTATATGAAACTTTAGGCACAAACCTATAGAAATAGAAATGCAGAGTATTGGTGTCTTTTGACTTGGGGTAGGAGAGGAAATTGAATGGAAAGGATGAGAGGGAACTTTTGGAGATGTTAGAAGAGTGCTTTATCTTAAAATGCATGTTTTTAATCAGACTTTCTTGAACTCTAAGTTTAAGATTAGTGCATTCTTTACATGTAAAGTGTTTCTGAATAATCGGAGCAAAATGAAGTCAATCACACTAACAACAAAATAATAAAGCAAGGCCAAGTTACACACACACACACACACAGACACAGACACACACACACACACACACACACACACGTACACCATTAGATAACCAACGGGAAGCAAAGAACATGAAGACTGAAAAAGATGTAAAGGTATGAAAAAGTCTAATGTATTACTGGTCTGACATGTGAGGAGTTTAATAAACTTTAATGAGTGGATGGTCTGAGTAGGGTCTGGCCAGGGAGACTTTATACAGTGATCTATGGTCTTGCTTCTGCTTCCCAAACTTCAGTAATCATTTTCTGGAAAGGGACAAATAGGAAAGATTTTAGACTTTGCATTCCACACACAGATTCTGTCACACATTCTTTTTTTTCCTACATTCTCTCTTGCAACTTTTCAAAAGTATAAAAATTATTCTTATCTCAAAGCCTATGCATCAACAGTGGGTCAGATTCTACCTGTATCCCAGGGGAACTATTGTCAGGAGATGGATTCAAATTGGGTTTTGGAGAATAAGAAACAATTCAGAACGGGAAGAGCAAGTTACAGGAAAGAGAAGTTGCTACTGAAAGTCAGGTGCTATTCTTTGGTAGTTATATGACATGGGACAATGCTTTGCTAGTTCTGAGTTCTTACAATAGCTACCCTTCTGACTGGGGAAGAAATGCAAGGATGGATAAAAAAGAAATCCTACTTGAAAGAATATGAAGAGCCTTAAAAATGTGATTGTTACCTAAGGCTCTTCATCTTGTCTGAGTGGGGATGACTCATGCCACTTATGTGTGCACAGTAATTGCTGAGATTACCGGGCCGATGCCAGAGTGTTTGGAGCTTTTCCTGCAGCTCTCAAGAGGGCGCAGGGTGAGTCAGGAGCTCACACTGACATCTTCTTGTTGGTTGTTATTTGAGCCTTTTTCATATTAATTTAAAATGAAATTTATTCAGTTCCTTGTTCTTCAAAGCACAAACCAAATGACTGTTTGGTGCTTTTAAGAGTCTGTGCCCCACTCCTTATCTACTATTATTTCAAAATGCCTGACATACCAACCACTGCTTTCAGTTTTCTCTTTACAATGAACATAGTTTGTTGGGGGATGGGCTGGGAAGAGGGGCACTACGAACCTCTCAGCCAGAGAAATGATTTAGCATAGCAGTTCCTGGAATGGTGACAGTGGAAATACTGGGACTTGAGTAGACTATGTGGGCCCAAATTCTTTGTGCAAATTGTTTAGCCTTTCTGTTTCTCTGTTTCTTTCCTTGTACATGAGCAGAATGAAACTATCTAGTAGCTGTCAGTAGGCCGTAATGCACAGCCAGTTGTCAGGAGCACTGTACAGTGCCTGGCAGACAGGGATAAATGGCAGCAATTATCAGTTCTACTCAAGGCCAAGTCAGAATGCAGGGATAGTTTTGTAGCTGGAGCGAGGAGTGAAGGAAGAATGGAGATAGGGCTAAGTGCAGGGTTTTCTGCTCCTAGGCTGCACCTAGAAGTAACATCACTGGCTGTTGTCACACTGTGAGCCAATGCTATAGCACAGAATGATAGAAGCCCCTGCACTCCTTCGGGACTAATGAGCACTCAGGCTCCATGATCGTGCTTGTTCTTCTGCTTACTATCTACTGCATCTGGTATTTGTTTAGCTGTCTGCTTTTTGCTCTAGTAGTGAGCTACTTGAGGAAAGAGACCCTGTTGCATTTATCTTTTAATTTTTATCAACAACACAGGGCCATTGCATACATATTTGATGTCAAAATGTTCTTGGAATGAACAAGTAAGTGAATATCTATGTCCCCCATTCAATTCTTGGGAAAATTAATTCCTTGTATTTTTTAGGTCAACGTACTTGCATACTTATGTGCTCAGCTAGATTATTTAGGGTTATCAAATAATGACTATTTGTAAACCCAAGCACATTCCAGCAATACTTAATCAGTCACTGGTCCATCAAATTCACTGCTTCTTCAATTCTAGAGGAAACAAATATCCCAAGCAAAATGAGACAAGCTGCTGAAACATCTCCAAAACCTCTGGCATTAGAAATGTTACCCACTAGAGCATAAGATGAACCATTGAAGATGGGGATTTGGGAAATACAATGCTTCATTTTTATTAATAAAAACAATATGATATTAAAACAAAAGTAGGCATTTACTGAAGGAGGCAGCCAGTTTGAGGATTCAGTTTTTAAAAAATCTGATTAACTGGTGATTTTCTTGAAGAGACCTGTCAATTTGTTCAGAAAAGCTAATTTGGTAAAAGCAGCCTTAAACTGGTTTCCAGGGTGTACCTTAATTGTATTGCTACTCAGCAAAATGCTTCTGTCCATGAGAATGTTTTTAGAACTAACCTGCTTACAAGGCTGAGGTCAAGGAAAACCAAGCTCTCCAGCCAGAAGGCAGCCGGGAACTGAACCGTGTACCAGGAAGAGAGAACCCCACATGGAAATGTGATGGTCAGATGCTAAGGTTAAAAAGTTCACACTGATATATTTTATTTTAGGAGAAGTCCTAGTACATTTGACAGAATAAGAAATTGTGAGTCCATTTGGAAGGATTCTGACCCAGGCCAAGACATAACTTCTCTCCGTCTTGGTTTCCTTGACTAGAAAATGTAAGGCCTGGACTGAGTGCCATCAAAGCTCTTATTTGCTTCTAATCTACGTGAGCACATAAAGTAGAGTCCATTTCTGGGACTTTTGAGGCCTTTATGATTTGGGATATGTTTACAAAGTCAGAGAGACTTGGTGTTTTCCAGAGCAGCACTATTTGCAGTCCAAGGAATATTAAAGTTCTATACAAAACATGTAGCATGGAGATGTGGGATTGTGAGGGAAGCTCTGAAAGGAAGCATGAGGATAGCTTAAAAAATATTTCTCCTCAGCTCTTCCCTAGCTATGGTGGGGACAGGCTACTCTGAAGTGACTGAGTTGATATTTATGTGAAGCAAGAATGACACCCAAAGACAGGAAGAAGCAGGGAAATTTTGGAGAAGAGTGAGAACAAAACGTGGTAGCAGACTGAAAAGATTTCTGCTTGAAGGAAAGAGAGATGCACAGCTAAATTTCAGTCTGTACAATCAGCACCTATTCAAGACCTTGTTTGTGATAGTCAGTTGCTATGACTTCACAGCACAGATGAGGTTCTTGCCTTTTTGAAGCTTGTAGGCTAGCACAGGAGATCGGGAGGAGTTCAGGGTACGATCAGAGCACATGAAAAGGGAATCTGATTCAGTTTCGGCACTTTGCAAAGTTTTCTAGAGAAACCTGGCACCTGGCACAGAACCTGGCCTCTCAGGTGTTGCACAGTTGTTCAAGAAAGGACATTCTCTGTTGACCTTTGGATGGGTACTTAAAGCAGGGCAACCAGCTTATATAAAAGGGACAGGAAAGAAAGACCTGATGCTCCCCAAGAGGTACTTTTATTTAATTTTTCTTTTGTTAATGGTTTCCCCAAATGCCTTACAATCTGCCATGGCTGTATCAGATGCTCTATGGCTGCTCTGGGAGACATTTGGCTACAGTAAGCTACAGTAAGCTCTGGCAGGTCTGTCCCAGATGATTCTGAACCCAAAGCCTGTCAGGATGATTTCAATCCTTTTCAGTTACCATGAGTTATGTCTAAGAGAAGTCCCTTCCCTGCTGATCATGAAAAGTCTGATACTGCACATGGATAAGCCTTCTCTTTTTTCTGTATAAGCAACCCCCCCTACCTTTAGCAGGTCAGCCTGTGCGCTGTTCCCCCTTATGTTGCAGCATAAGTCCTAATAAAACCACTTTTCCATGGTATATTATTACCTATTCACAATTTCTATCTTCAGTAGAGTAGGCAGAACTGATATGCTAAAATCTGGTAACGTCAAAGAATGGTGGTGCTGAAAGGACCCGGCCTCAGGTGGCTAGTGGTAGAGGACAGTAGAAAGCAAAGGAGAAATTGCCAGGAGCAGCCATTTCTGCTTGCCAGAGTAATTCCCAAGGACTGTAGGCAGCTGCTGGCTCTGGCTGACAGGAGAGTCGTAGGGGACCACTAACATCTAGAACTGATGCTGCCTTCAAAGGCCAAGACTGCTAATGAGAGCTGCACTTTGTCTATTTGTGATTTCTATTTAAATTGAGCAAAGTGACCCTTTGCCAGCTGGTGACAAAAAGGCCTGGTGGTGACAGACAGCAGTGCATGTTCAAGGACCTGAACAAGGCAGTTTGGCATGGCTGGAAGGTGGGAGAGGATGGTAGGGAACAAATACTGGATGGATCGCAGATGTCTGGAGAGCCTCTTTAAGCTGTGCAACAGAAATTTGGTCTTTAAATGCAATAAGAACCTCTGAAGAAAAGCAGAGGTGTGTCCTGATTATATATGTCTTTTAGAGAGATACCTCTGGCTACGGAGTAGAGAAAGGATTGGAGGGACCAGTCTAGAGATGCAGAAGATAAGGGCGAAGGATAGAAGACATTTGCAACCTAAGAGAGAGAATGGTGACCTGATTATGATGGAGACAGTGGGACTGGAGAGGGATGATGGACTGAAGAGAAATGCGGAAGGTAGATTAGGCATATGATGCAGAAGTGAAGGAGGGAAAGGAGGTGAAGATGATGTCCAAAGTCTCTGACTTAGACATCTGGTGATGCTGTTCCATTCTTTCTGTTTTGCGGATGACATTGAGGTTGATGTGGCTATTCACCCATCCCAGGCCATCGACAGACCTCTGCCTGTGTCTGGTCCTCCCTTCTGGCCCTCACTGGAGAGCACTGGAGGAGGCACAGTGGAGCTGACCGGCTCTCAGGTATTGCATGGCTGTTTAAGAAAGGCCATCCACTATTGACCTTAATTTTTTTCTCTGAAACATGGGTAAGACTCCTGCCATCAAAATTTCTTTTGAAGCACAAGAAGACTTTCTAGAGACGATAGACCAGTCCCCATAGGAACTGAAATATTGAAGCAGCTTGCTCCTTCCAATCAGCCCCTTTGCAACCAAAAGACTTTTATTCATTTCCCTCTCTTTTCATTGTCTCAAGTACTTCACATTTCCATGTTTATGGTAAAACACCCTGTAAATACTTTAGTTTTTTTTTTTCTGGTACTGGAAACTGAACTCACAACCTCGCACCTGATCAGGCAGGCACTGTGCAGCTGAGCTAAATCCCCAGCCTCCCTGTAAATACTTTGGGATAGAAGTAAATTCATACTTTTTGTTGTTGTTGTTGTTCTGGGAATCGAACTCATGACTTCAGGCTTGGTAGGCAAGTGCTTATGCGCTGAGCTAGATTCCCAGCCCTGGGATAGAAGTAAAGAGAGATGGAGCTGTATGTTTGTCTGGCAGTAGTTTCATGAGTTTTTAGAAGAGTTCCTGTTCACCTATTCTCCAACCCTGTGTTCCTTCCACACATCCCTGAACAAGTTTTTAACATTACTATTGCAAGACAGTATTTCATGATATTTTTTAATTTTAATTTTATTAGCACATGTTCGTGGTACATAATGGTAACATTTATCACGGGGAGTTGGTACATGTGTATAACACACCTTAATTCTTTTTTACCCTCCTCTCCCCTGCTTCATTTCCCCTTTTTCCACCACTTCATCTCTTTCCCTTTTGCAAAAGATCTACTTCCCTGTTTCCTAGCATCTATCTTTTACCTTGTTTTATTTTATTTGACAGTGAAAGCATTGGCTTAGATTAAACAGTCTCTCAGTTTCAACAGGTTGAGGAGTTACTTTTTGTTGATTCAAAATATTTTTTAAAATTATAATTACATAAGATTTACCCATTTTAATATTGGAAAAGTGAAAAAGAGTTAAGTAAAGAGAAGAAAATAAAATCTCCTTTATTTTCCTTCCCAGAGGTAAGGAATATTAAAAATAGTTCTATATCCCTGAGTATTGTCTCTAAATATATATTTTTCAGAGCCTTTTCTGATCTCCACTGCATAGCTGCATCCTAGCTGGATTTGGGCCTTGTACAGAGTGAGACCACATCCATCACATTCACACTCTGAAAGCTGGCACCTAGCACAGAACCTGCTACATCAGACTTGTCAGTACAGTATTTGTAGAACAAATGAATTTATGTGTGTGTCTCTTCATATTCTGTGTTGGTGTTTGGTTCATATTTTCTGCCAGTTTTAAGTTGCATTCACCCTTGATGAATGCAAGTTGATATTCTTGACCTTTGAGTCATAGGTAGGGGAAAAGATATTAACCTAACAATCAGAAGTGGGTAATACTTTTATAAGGTGGGTATAACAAACTGGTAAATGGTACATTCTCAATATAGATACAGGTGTTCAGTGTGTAGATACATTTAGAATTAGCTGAGGAACTACAAACCATACCTTCCTTTAGGGATTAGTCTTCCCTCTAGAAGGGTAAATTTACAGGTTTCAGTGTTTTGTCTTGTATGACCCTAGGTTTCCTGGTCTTGGTTGACAGCATGGAGGGTTATATAATAAAGTTAGACTTTTTCTCCTGGGATTTTTTAAATTAAAAAATTAAATTTATTTTTAAGCTGATAAAAATTGTCGGGTACGAGGTGATATTTCAAACCTGTATACATTGTATAATGTTTAAATTAGGTTAAACATATTTGCCTCTTCATTTATTACTTTTTTATGGTGAAAACTTTCAAACTCCCCTCTTCTAGCTTTTAAACTATGCAGTACCATATAGAGAAGCTTTGCACAGGTGCTGTCCAATTATCTCGGTCGTGGGTCTGGACAGCTATCATTTGCTATTACTCACAGGGCACATTTCTTCTTTGGGCAGTATCAGAAAAAAGCTTAGGATAATTGCAGCCAGTTTTCCTTCTGAACCAAATCTGCTTTGACTTGGTATTGTGCCAAGCATTAGCAGTTCAGCTCTGAGGGATTTGATCCTTCTACGAAATCTATGATTAAAATCAGTAACACTGACAACATTTTTATAAATTGCTGAGGGCAATGTTTTTCTATAAATAATGTTCATAAATATCTTACATTTTCTATAAATCTAGGTCTGAACCCAAGATATTTTGGCAAGAATGACAGATCACTGGGACTTTCATAACAAGCTGCTTTCTGAATTTAGTAAGTGAGTGAATGCATTATGTACCAATTTCTTGCTTGTTTAAAGAAATAAATAGCTATGTTTTCAAATTGAAGTCATTTTAAGATTTTGCAGCTGTTAAAATTAGAAAATTCCCCATCCCCAAAGCAGCCTAGCCACACTTGGGCTGAGTCTATATGTTGAAAAGCCAGGAGTTGGGAAAACGGACCAATCAAACCACAATAAAGAAGACTTAGAAGGGGCCATACAATTTCACGGTTAAGAGACCCACTGTCGTACGTAAAAGATATGTGGGTTGGAGCCCAGCCCTACCATTATCCAGCTGAGTAGCCCTGAGCACATTTTGTTACCATTTTACACTCAGGCTTCTTTTCTACAAAATGGCATTGAAATAGCAACTACTTCAGAAAAAAGTCTGTGCAGATTAAGGTTGTGTAATGATGAGGCTTGCTGCAAACTAATTGAATGTCAAACAATTATTTGTGCTTAGTGCCACAGTGAGGTTGATGGAGGGGTGGGGTGACCATGATAGGATGACCTACCGTTAATTTAATAGTCCTCTGGAACCCGGTAGGTAAAGCATACACGTGAGAGCCAAATCAGCCTGACAACCTGTTTCTTCGTGGTCTGCAATCTAAGAGTGGCCTTTGTATTTTTTCAGGTACCAGTGTTGAATGAATTTCACTTGAGTTCTGTTTTCCTGGAGAAAAGAACTGTTAAAAAGAGTTTCTCTCCTTGTTTATTTCTTGAAGCTAACTGGAGATGACCACTGGCTCCAGAATGTTTCAAGATAATATCACCCTTCTTCAGAGACTCAAGGAAGATTCCCTTGCTACTCCAGGCCGCCTTCTCTTTCCTTCAGTTATTCCTCATCAATGAACATTGACCCCCATTCCAAAGGGCCAAATAAAACACCACCTTAATTATCAGATTCACTTTTGCCTTTGACACAGGGTTATTAAAACATGTCAATAGGATAGAGGGTGTAGCTCAGTGGTACTTCACTTGTCTGGCATCTGTGAGGCCCTGGATTTGATCCTTAGCACCACAAAAATAAAAACAAAACCAACCAAACAAAATATGTACATGTCTTAGTCCCTTCTTATTGCTGGAATAATATACCTGACACCCACAACGTAAGGGAGGACAAGTATATTTCGGTTCCCATTTTCAGTCCATGGTCTGCAGGTTCCAAGGCTTGGCATGGCAGAAATGCGTGGTAGCAGGGCCAAGGGGGAACAATAGGTACTTATGCCATGGCAGCCAGGAAGTGGAGTGAGAAGGGTGAAGCTGAGGGAGAGACATATCCTTTCAGGTCATGCCCCATCTCTCTGACCAGACCCCATTTCTTAATAAGACACTCACCTACTGAACTCATTAGTGGATAAACCCATTGAAGAGGACAGTGCCCCATGATCCAATCATCTTCTTGAAGAAGGCCTCTGAGCCCATGCGAATTTGGGGGAAACATTCTAGATCTCAGCTATAATAACACATATACATTAGAATGCCAAAAGCACTTTCTGCCTGAATTGACAGAAAATATTTGTTGACTTCTGTCAAGGATGAAAGGGTCTTGGTCTCCATCAACCGTTGATAAAACTTTTGTAAACCTGTTGCTCAGGGATATTCCATAAGAGTGGTCCAGTTAGAGTAGTGGAATGGTGAGGAAGAGTTGAATAACCTGAAAATTCTGGCAGACGAAGTATAATCAAAGATGTTGGGTGGATATGTCTCTCTTATATTATCTCATTTAATTCTCCACTATCTTACATTTATTATGATCATTATGTAAATGTTTTTTTAATCATTTAGCATTTATTATCCTGATATTACAGATTAGATCATTGAATTTCTTGAAGATAAACTGTGTGGCCAACGTCATAGAGCTAATAATTAAAATTCAGTCTTAACTGAATCTGTAATTCTGACTCTAGAATCTATCCTTTAAAAAACTAACATCATATTATGTTCAAGAAGTTTTGGTTAATGAAAAGATATAGGTGCTGTAATAGACAGATGAAACTAGGCAAATTCTAGCTCATTAAATAGAAAAAACTTTTAACATCTAGAACTTCCAACCAGGGACAAAATCTGTGACATTTGTCATGTAGCACTTTGTATATTTATAGATAGAAGTATAAAGCTTTTAATAAAAAACTGTAATTCTTATTACAAAATATTTTCATGTATTTATATTCATTTTGAAGAATTTTTATCAATCACTTTCAAGGTGACTAGGATGTATGAGTAGGCTACCTTGAAGAAAGATACATCAGAATCACTTAAGGAAATTTGTCCATCTAAATAGTCTGATATCTTTCAGTATCTTTAAGATTTACTCTTGAAATCAGGACCTGCCATACCAGACCATAAGTTCCCTAACTAATAACATGCTCAGAGTATTCTTTAGGAAAAGCCTCAATAATTCACTTAAGAATGGTTTGAAACCATCTTTTAAATTTCTTTTATTTTAAAAATTAAAAAACTGACAAAACAATAATGACAAAATCAAAACAACACAAAAGCAACAAAAATGATACAAGACCTCAAACAAAATGATAGGAATTAACAATGGTTGTTACATTACATACTGTTATGTTCACAGAGTTGCTCAGTCTACCAGATGTAAGAATGTAAGATTGATCAAACAATCAAACACAGTAACAAGTAATAAAAAAAAACTTTGGAAATGATGCAGAGCTTCACCATACAAGATGGTAGGAGTTCAACAGTGGTTTTTATACTGCATATTGCTATTTTCAGATCAGTCATTCTGATTATCTGGTTATATGTGTAACCATTTTGAAGATGGCATTATGTAATATAACAACCATTGTTAATATCCTATCACCATGTTAAATTCTGTATCATTTTTATTCTTCTCTATGCTGCTTTGTTTATGTATTTGTTTTTGTTATTTTTTTCTCTTTAAAATGAAAAACAAAATTTATATGTATATACAAGTTTAGCCAGGACAGGTGTATTGCTGATGTCTGTGGTTTATTGAGAGGATCAGTCAATGCTTAAAATTTTCTTTTTTCTTGACCAATTTTGCACACTTGAAACCAGCTTTTTAAGAATAGACTGCTCAGAAGGAACCAACTCACTCAGTCATTGACCTTTTGACAGCACTCAGCATCCATTGTGTAGAATATGATAACTTCCCATGAAAAAAACCACAGGACCTATGAAGAGGCATGACAACAGTTTACACTTGAAAAAGAACCTTAAAACTACTCTCTGGTTATCCAATTAATAAGCACCTTCTCCACTCTGCCTTCCTATGCATATCTCAGTCATCAGGACGTGGGTAAGCAGATTTGAGCCTTCTGTTCAGCTTGAATCATACTTATCAGGCAAAGTCAATCTCTGTCTGTTTGCAAAAGCCAGTGCATTGAGTTGGATTCTATGCCTAGCAAGTAGGGAGCTCCTCAGGTTATGGAGAGAAAAAAATGTCCTTAGGTTAAGTCCTTAGGTTATGGAGAGAAAAAAATTGAGTACCACTCTTTAGATACATGAATCACATGTTAAACTTAATGTAGCAAAATTCTAAAAGCATTGTTCATTCTCCAGAATATTAATAGTACTATTTTGTTCCATGTAAATATATTTAGTATTAATTTTTTAACTTTACATTTTTCTTTCAACTATTTCTATACCTCAAGGCGACTAGAGACGTTTTTCTTCTCTACCTGCTAAGCAGTTGCAGAAAAGCAAACAAGTTAAATTTAATATCACTGTTTCCCAATCCTGCAAGTACCCTTGTGGAGAGTTTTTAATCATTTCAAAATGCATCAAAAGGTTAATTTTATGAATTTTTTGGAAATATAAAGGAGTGAAGAAATACCAGGCTAGTTTCTTATATGGATGTGTTTATCTGATATAAATTATTTATATTTCTTCTCATGTCTTGTTGACCACCTAGTCTAGGTCTTAGTAGGAAGTAACCATTTTTCAGCAACCCTTGAAATGATGGTCAGAAGTCTATTTTGATGGAAAAAACACTCTGTTGGAATTTTGGCTTTGTAGAGCAGAATGGTACCTTTTGTTTTTAAGTGTGAAACTTTAATTTTGAATGTTTTATGATACTGTAAAATCTTTCCATTTGAAGGGATTATTTAAGCTTTAAACTTATTCTACTTCAACAAAGTCAGAAAAGGTTTGGTGAATGTTATGTAGCCAATGCCCTAGGCAGAAAAATCTCTTTGACATTCAAAAGCTATTTAGAAATTTAGTTTTTCTTCTATAGAAGCAAGTTGACTGGATTTTCAAATATATTTCAATTTAAATAAAAATAGTTACAGATTACCATTCAACAATGCCTGAAGGTTATGACTGGGAATCACATTGGTCACGAGTTTGGGCTTCTTTCTTCAACAAAATTCAGGTTTTAATGTAGTAAAACTGAGCAGAAAAATATGAATTAAAAACACACAAAAACCTTGGAAGCCCATCAACTGAGGAATGGATAAAAAAGATGTGATATTTTTATACAATGGATATTACTCAGCTATAAAAAAGATAAACTCGAGGCTTTTATGGGTAAATGGATACAACTAGAGACCATACTCATAAATGAAATAAATTGGACCCACATATATAGACATCATATTGTCTCCCTGGTGTAAGAGTAAATAAAACCCAAAATGTACAGTGGATAATAGGAAAGGGAAAGAAATTGCTCAAAGGAAGGAACAACTGGGATGACAGAAAGAAGAAAAAGAAAATACTAAGGCATTATATATACATATTATATATATATATACATATATATATATATATGGATAGGTGGCGTAACTGTACTGCTGATGTCTGATGGTTTATTGAGGGGAACAGTTAATGATTAAGTTATTTTTTACATATTTTGACTAATTTTGCATGCTTATATCTGGTAATCTGAGCAATTTATGTGAAGACAACAATTTGCAGTATAACAACCATTGGTGAATTCCTACAATCCTGTCTAGTGAAACTATGTATTGTCTCTAATGTTCTTTTAAATTATTATTTTCTTATT